TCCTCCTGCTCCTTCAGCGTCCCTCAAGTTGGCATCTTTGGAGCTACAACAGAGGTGGCCATATCTTTTTCCCTTTACCATCTGGGCCAGGGTGTTGACAGTCTCCCATACCCATGAACCATCTGAGAAAAGGTTCGAACTTTTAAAAAGAATTTATTAACAGAAGAAAGATATAAAGTACACAATCGAAGGAATGAGAGTTTGCAACAGATTTTTTTCAGCCCATTGCAACTAAAAGAAATTTACTGGGCCAACACTATTGATACTGAGCCCCAAATTCCATTTCAACCCTGTCCCTCTTGGCTGCTAAGCCAACCAGTTCAAACTTTCTCCTGAGACAAGTCAGGCTGCATTCTAAAACCTCCCCAAACCTACGTCCTGATGGCCTCTTTATACATAGGCCCTTCTCTGTTTGGTCCCAAAGATTCCTCACCTGGGACTTCAGGTGAGGTCTGCCCGGACCCTGCCGCACCTTCTCCACTCCTCCAACCAAAGGCATCTGTGGTCCCTCGAAGACCCTGTTTTGTTCTTGTCCTGATTCATTTAATTAAACTATATTTACGAACCAGTTGAGTAGGATGGTTCTGCTACCTCTGGTCAAGTTAACAATCTTCCTAAGCCTGCATCAGAACTTGGTGCTTCTCTTGCTAGGAACATTTTCAAGTGCTCTGACAGCCCTCTGCCCCAGCTAGTCCAAGACTGCATTCTCCCCAAAACAGACTCTGCAACTGGTCCAGTCTCCCATTTATGGGTTAACTCTAGCTGACCTGCCAAGGAGAGATGGTTAAGCACCTTGATCCTGATACCTGCCTTTGAACCCTACCCAGCTCAGGTCACCAGCCTCAAGATTTCTGACTTCTCTCTTGGACTTCTGCCTCTGTGGAATTTTATCTCTGTAGATATATTATATGGCATGACTTTACAGACACAGTAATAATAAGACTACAGTGAAAGGAGAGCTATTCCCTCCCAAATTATATTTTCTCTAAATTTTCAAGAGATTTGGCCAGTCTCACCATTTGGAACCTCTAAAAGGCTATGGTTATCAGTCCTTCATTAGTACAGTCTGATTCTAGCTGATTTTAAAAATAGCATTGCGTCTTAGCAAGCTGGCCATTGGTCCCTTCTGCTCCTATAGTCACGGTTATGTCATAATATATGGTGTCTTCAAAAAACTGCTGGAATGCAAAATAAAACAGTCTTCTCCAAAGGAGAAGCAGTTAACAGCTCTACCCAGATGTTCTTGAGCTTTTACCTCACAATATGTGCACATAACATCCCACTCAAGCCTACAATGACCTAACAGTACTGGGTTAGTATGAGTCAGTTGAAATTTTTTCCAACCAATACTTCAGATTTGAGCTTTATGGCACACAAAATACAAAATACTTCTCTCTACTCACCCAGTCCTCACAACAACCCTGTGAAGTGGGCATGGTGGATATTAATATCCCCATTTTACTGATGTAGAAACAGGTTCAGAAAGGTTAGGGAGCTAGACCAAAATAACACAGCTATTAGGTGGAAGAGCCAGCACTTAACCCACGTCTCTGCTTCCTCATTCACTTTTTTTAGGTGCAAAGACTATGAAAGAGGTTGTCTACTCCCTTTCTCACTACCTGAACGAAAGGCAATCTCCTTTCACCAGTACATACAGAACCTGGAAAGTTTCAAACAGGAAAAAGATTGATTAAGTTAATTGTCATAGTCCAATGTGGGGTGGGGGTGAATCTTCCACAATGTTCCCGATTTCTTACAATCCGTAGTTTAATGAAGAACTCTTTCTCTTGGTGCTAAGTGGTGCTTTCTGTGGGTTTCACGGGGATTCCTGGGTCACGGTTAAGATGCCGGGGATTTTACCTCTAAACTGACTCAATGCTATACTTCCCATCGTTTCACATTTTGCCAGTGTTCTGTGCCTTCCCACCCCACTTTCTGTCACTCTTCCAATGCCTGGCTTTCCAGGATGCTTACTGCTTCCTGGAAAGTCACTTGGCTCCTACGTGCCTGGAGCATCAGTGGGATTTTCTTCTTGCAGTCAGATGACATTTCCTTTCTAAAGGTCTCTATTCCTGCTTTGCCTCCTGGGTGAGCTACTTGGCTGGAGCCATTTCACCAGCCAAGTCCTCAGCATATGGTTCCTGTACAGCTCTGCAAAGCTGTTGTTCCAACCCGATGATATACGACCCCTGGGTCCCCCTTTACACGCATAGCAGGACATCCTAATCTCCTATCTTTCGTGACTGGGAGCTGAGCCATGCCGTGGGAAGCATATGGTAAACTGTGTCCACAGTGCCCCCCTGCTGGAGATGTCCCATAAGCCAAGGTTCTGGACAACTTGGTTGGATGGGCTATGGCATTTAAGGTGGCAAATCTCTGGAGTCTTACTACTGTCCCATCCCTTTTCACAAATATTAATTCATTTCACACACATTTAACTGAGTACCAACTATGAGCCATCATTTTGTTAACTCTGCAGATAGAGCTGCAAAGACAGATCCTCCCCACCAATGCAAATCATCCTATACTAGCTGGTTCCTTAGAACCACTGTTTGGTTTCTAGTTGATCTGAATTAGTTGGTGAACTCAACAAGACCTTCCCCTGCCTTCTGAACACTCCACATTGACCCCATCACCTTAGGGGGCCCACCTGGCCTCTGTAAACCTTCCCAGGGTGGGTTCCTCGGTCAGTCACCAGACAGACCCCCTGCTCTGAAGGCCCTTCTCCCTGCCAGGCCCAGCCCGCTGGTATACTCCCCCTAACCCCTGCCCCTTATCTATCAGAACAGTCTCATTTGTGCTAAGAGACATATTCATTTGCAAATCCAGTAGCTATTCTTGAATATCATTTATAGAGGTATATTTTTAAAGTAAATATCCGAACATATATGTTACTTAATTGACAACAATAACTAAGTAGAAATGCGCATATATGAATAACAGCACGAAATAACTCAGAAAGAACCCAGTCTCCCAAATCACTATTTACATATTTTGAACCTATTGCCATTCAGTAACGATTCAGACATAATTTCACCTTGTTGCTATCATTATGTGATCATAATACAATTTTTTTTTGCTTATGATTGCATCACATAACATATTCTTATAAATAGTTTTCATAGTTACCATGCTTGAAGGCAGTAGCTCATTGTCCTAATAGACTACGATCTACTTAGCTGTCCCCCACAGCTGAGCAGTTTCCAGTCAAGACTATAATTTATAAGGTGGCCACAAAAATCTCTGTGCAAATACTTTTTTTTTTTTTTAATTATTTTCCCAGAATGTATTCCCCAAAGTAAGATAACTGAGTCTTACAGTCTTTTTTTTTTCTTAAACTCTTGTCGAGTATTGCCAAAATTCTCTGCATGAAGCATCACTTTATATTGCCAGGAGAGTATTTCTCCATGACATATTTTTTAAATGTATTTCAGACACATGAAAGTGGCTTTTTCAAATCGTTTTGCTTAGTAGTCTTGGCCTTTGTGCATTTCCTCCTTTGACCAAGTGAGATATCTTGTTAAATACCTATATGGAGGTCAGCTCTTACTCAGATCAATTCTACGTGTGTAGTTTTCTCACCTTGTTTTTAAAATCTTCATTATTCTTTGCTGTATACATTTCAATTTTTATATAATTGAATTTGTCCACTTGACGTTGATGATTTTCCCCATCACTTTAATAAACAACCAATAATCTCCCCAGAAAAAGATTTTCTTTTCCCTACCCCAATGCCCTGCACTTTCCATCTGGACTTGTCTAAAATTCCCCTGGTACCCAAGAACACTCCATTGTCCATGATCCCCACATTACAATTCCCTTAGGTCATCTCTCAACAGCCCCTGGCTAAACATGTCCGCTTCAGTTCCACTGTTATGACCTGTGCAAAGGACCAGTGGTCGTGGCTCACCTTCAACTAGATCCTCCTCTCCGGTTTTTACTCCTTTACCATCCCAGACACACTACCAGCTTCTTAGGGTTTCCAGCTGTTTTGTCTCCCAATCCCATACCTGGCTTTAGGGTTAGGTTGCTTTCCCCAGCAGGAGTGGCCTACCAAAGGACACATTCCCTCACCCCTTAGTGTAGCCAAATGAAAGCCAAAATTTCTCAAAAGGAATTTTGCTGGTAAACTAAGAGGAAACTAAAATCAGACTCCATGAAATGTAAATATATCAACACAAAAAAAATTTTACATCCTACATAGGTCTTGGCTTAGAGGTGGCAGGGGCCCCTGGAGGTTCCCCTTCTCATATTCAGAACCTTGTGTGTTAGACTTGGACCCTGCCAGGTTCAGTGTTCTAGCAGCACATTCTCTTCACAGACCTTGAGGTAAACACTTCTTGGCCTTGGCTGGCATCTGTGCTTGGTCCCCCATGAAGCCCACTCCATACTGCACTGGGGGATACCATAATCAAAGAAGTCTCTACTTCCTGGCCACGGCTGGTAGAAAATACAATTAACTGCCATTTCGAAATCCCAGGCCTCTTCTGACCTGGCGTGCCCCTGTTCTAATCTGAGGAGAGCCAGTCTCAGCTCTTCCAGAAGGTACATGTCTAACATACCCTGAGACCTTCTGCGCTTGGAGGACTTCTGCCCACCTCCCCAAGACTCTCGCTGGGCTCCTCCACCAGGAATGGTTTCGAAGAACACAAATTAGCACAAGCTTACAAATCTTAGAAACTTAAACTGTAACGACAGTAGCAGAGTAGTAATGGTGGGGACAGTCACCCACAAAAAAAACAAGAGGTGTGGTTAACTCCCAGCACCATATCAGCTCTCCTCCTCTGCTTCTGAGAACCATGGTCATGCCACAACCCTTGGTCCCTATCTCTGCACACCCAGAAAGGGGTTGGCAGTGTGGCACGTCCTCATTGAAAGATTGCCAACACCTGCCCTCTGGAAAAATGCCCTTGTCCACCATATCCCATGGCAACCCTGCCTTCCTCTTCCTGTCCCACTCCCTCCCCAATCCCACCCAGCTCCACCCCAGTCCCAGCCCTTTAACTGTCAGGAGAACGAACCCGAAAGATGTGGATGGTCCCATTACTGAGGGACACAACCAGGTACCTGCCATCCACCATGGTGGTCACCCGGGGCTTTTCCAGGCCATGATAGGCTGTCAGGAAGTCGCCTAGCAGTGACCCCTTTGGGTCCAGGATCACCACCTTGTTGACCTCGCGAAGGGTCAAAAAAATGTAGCCCCTCTTATCCACAGACACGGAGCCTGGCTGGCAGCCATGCAAGCCTGGCCCTCCATACTCCCCAATCACCTGACCCAGCCCATCACAGACCACCACACTATTCTGCTGCCAATCTGACCCCACGAAATTGCCCTGGGGACTGGTGGTCAGAAACACCAGTGCCCGAAGGCCCCGGTTGGCCTTGCCACCTGGTATAAAGCGGGTGGCCAAGCTGCCTTCCATGTTGTACACCTCCACGTGGCCTGACACGCTGACAGCCACCCGGTCCCCGCTCGGCATTGCAGCCACAGCATGGCTGGCCTGGGAGAGGCTCAGGGCCCGGCGCCACTGCACCTCACCATCGGGGCTTATGAGGTAGAGCCGAGCCCCAGCTGAGAAGGCCACCGCACCCTGCAAGGCGGCCACGCTGCATGGGGAGCAGCCCTCAGGAACAGGTACAGCGCCTTTGTAGTCGCCATTAAGGGAGAAGCGTTTCAGAGCCCTGTTCTGTTCATCTGCCACCAGGATCTCCCGGGGGCCAAAGGGACAGAGCCCAGTGATCCGGGGAGACCGCTTGTCTCCCGGCATCCGTGTGGGAAAGCTGCAGGAAAAGATAGGCCTGGGAAGGAGGCCAGAACCCTCCAGGTTTGGCCCAGGCGCAGGGCTGGGCTCCCGGGAAATTGACTTCAGCCTGCCTTTGAACTTCCTCTTCTTGTTGGATCTGCAGCCCACTGCAGTCTGGGCTTCTCTGTCTTCTTGGGGCATCTGGGATCTGCTCTCTTTGGGGGTCTGGGCTCTCTCTGCCTTTGGGATCTGGGCTCCATCTTCCTGAGGCGACTGGGCTCTGTTCTCCTTTGGGGTCTGGACTCCATCCCTACTCTGGGGCTGGACTGCACTTTGTTTCTCTGTCTTGGCTCCATCCTCTCTGGGGCTCTGAGTTTCTTCACCTCCCTGGCTACCAGCTCCATCTTTCCCACTGTCCTTCTGGGGCTGCTGATTCTCAAAGGAGAGCCATAGCAGGTGGCAGTTCTTGTCCAGAAGCCCAGGATGGAGCTCTAGCTGGGGCAGCAGATGGGGGGCTGGTCCAGGCATCCAGGGACAACCCTGCAGCTGCTGGAGCCTCTGAGCAATCGCCCCCTCCAGCGAAAGTATCTCAGCCTCGCGACCCAGGCTGAGCACCCGACGGGCAAAGGCAGCTGCCGCCCTAGCCACCTGCTCCCTGCCCTCCAGCTCCCCCAGCCTCTCCCGAGCAGCCTCCTCGGCAGCCTCCACATGGGCCCGTAGCTGCCCCAGCACCTCCTTCTTCTGGGCCAGGAGGGTCCGGAGAACCCCCTCAGCAGCTTCCTCTACTTGTGTCCCCACTCTGGCTGCCTGCTCCCGTAAACAAGCTAAGGCTTCCTTTTCCACCATCCGGGAAGCTTCTAGCTCAGCCAGGTTTTTGTCCACTCCCGCTAGTAACTCCTCAAGGCCTGGTCTCCGGGCACGCACAGCTTCAGCCAGGGGCAGGCAGGGGTGGTCCAGGTGTGGGTCCAGGCGACACTCTCGGCACAGCAGCTGGGAACAGGGCTGACACAGGAAGCGCAGAGCCTCCCCTGGGTGCTGGGGACACTGGGCTGCCTGGCGCTCCCGGGCCTCCTCGTCATACCACCCTGCCCTGTAGCCCACCAGGTCCACCACTCGGTGGGTGTGAGTCTGCCGGGTGCAGCGGTGCCCATCGGCACAGGCCTGGCACAAGTCATCAGCACAGTCCAGGCACCGAGCTGTGGCTGGCCCCCCAGCGCTGGTGCCCCCCATCAGGGGGCACAGTGCACAGGCTGGCTTTCCTGCGTGCAGGTCTCCACCGGCCCGGGCCCTCACCAAATCCAGGAGCCCGTTGACAAAGAAGTTGGTCTTGAAGGCAGCCACGCCTGCTGCTGGCACAGGTACAGTCTCGCGGCACTCAGGGCATCGGAGGTGGCCGCCCTTGGCCAGCTGGGCTAGGCAATCCTGGCAGTAGGTATGCAGGCAGGGCAAGGTTTTGGGTGCCCGCAGCTGCTCTAGGCAGATTTTACAGGCCAGGAAGTCGCTGCTCAGGGCCTCCAGAAGGGAGGGTGAGGATCCCTGGGACACCATGCTGCAAGCAAAAGGCCAAGATTGAGGGCAGAGGGCACCACCACAGTGCCTCCAGAATGCCTTCCTCCTCTCCCCCTATGCTCAAGCCCCACCAGGTCTGGAGAATCACCTGAATGGCCAGGAATTGTCTTCTGGTCTTCCAGGTCCTCTGGCCATTTGCTCTTGAGCCAGGGAGCTGCCCTGCTTCTTGCATACATTCAGCAAATGTGAAAATGTCAGTGCTGCTTGCATGTGTCAAGAGATGTAAGAAATGACAAGACTGCCCTGGCCGGTTTGGCTCAGCGGCTGGAGCGTCCGCCTGCGGTCGGGAGAGACCTGGGTTCGGTTCCCGCTAAGGGCATGTACCTCGGTTGCAGTTTGTCCCCGGCCCTGGTTGGTCGTGCGAGTGGCAGCCACTCGATGTGTCCCTTTCACATCGATGTTTCTCTCTCTCTCTCTCTCTCTCTCTCTCTTCCTCTCTCTCCCTCCCACTCTATCTGTACAAAAAAATGGAAAAATGTCCTCAGGTGAGGATGAAAAAAACCAAACAAAACAAAACAAACAAACAAAAAAGAAATGACAAGACTGAGAAGCCCCTGGCCTCAGAGGGGTAACAGTGTAATGATTAGAGCTCTTAGCTGACAGCCTCGTGGCAAGTGTGACCCAAGCCCCCTGTGTGAATAGGTCCTGGGGATCCTGCTGGGGATGAGGTGCTGGAGTGGGGACAAAGCAGAAGGTCCAGGTGGGCAGAGTGGTTTTGACTCCTGGCATTTGGGGCAGTATAAGGGGCCCCAATTTCCCTGACACATACACCAGTCTTCTTCTAGACCCTGGGAGCAGCTTCATGGGTAGTGGGAGCCCCACTTCCTGTCCTGACTCTGAAATGGGTCCTGGAGCAGGCAGCAGGGAGGCTGAGGGGAGGGGCTGCCCTGCTCTCTCCTTCCAGCTGCTGGACCTTGGGGTCACTGTGGCCTGTGCCTCAACTCCTCAAGTCCTGCTCTTTCTGCCTTTCCTGCTGCAAGAGGCCCTCTGCTCTCCTACAAACCTCTGAAGGGTCCAAGTTGTGTGAAGTTCATCTGTGAATCCTCCCAGTTCCCAGCACAGTAGCTGTGAAATATTTGACGAAGGGACTTGGGGAATTCTCCCCAAACTTCCGCAAAGTGGGGGCTGGGAGGAGCGCTCAGAGAGTGGGAGGGAAGTCTTTCCCTGGGAAGTCTCAGCCCTCTGGCCCGGGGGTGAAGTGAGGGGTGCTCCTGCCCAGCCTCCCCTCTCCTCCTGACTTCCGGGTCCCTCTCCCGCCTCCCCCCTCCCTTCCCCCTCCCTTCCACTTCCTCCCGAGCTCTCTCTCCCTTCCCCCAACTCCCTGCAGTTCAGCTTTCCTTCAGCTCCCCTTCCCCTCCCTCTTCTTACCTGGCCTGAGCTAACCTTGGACTCCAGGACCAGGAGTGGGGGGCTGAGACCTGGCTGCCGCCGTTGCAGGGTTCCTGGAAGAGAAACAAAACTGAAACTAATTGTAGTTGTGCAACTTCCGTCCCAGCCCCAGGACACCGACTTGCACAGCCTCAGGCCCCGCCTTCTTCCCCACCCCGCCCAGACCTCTTCCTGGGCAGGGGGGCACCCCCATCAGAGCTCGGCCCCCTCCGGGAGGCTCCAGGGTCTGCCTGTCAATTGTAGCCTCAGGACTTGCTCAGCCAGCTAAGCATGTTTGTGGCAAATGCTGGGAATTGCCCGAGGACCTGTCCTCTGAGGGGAAAAAAATTTGAGATCATCTATGATTCAGACCCCAGGTTTCCAGTGCTGCAGCTTATCTGCAAATCCAGTCCTAGGTGAGGCCCTTGGTGCCATAACCTTTGCTGAGCTATGGGAGAGGCTGTGGGGACCATATAAGGGGCCTTCATCGGAGGGGATCAGCAGAGGTTTCCTGGAGGAGGCGTCACTTGAAATGAGTTTGAAGAGAAAACAGGGGTTTGGGAGTCACTGAAGAAGAATACAGGGAAGAGTGTTCCGGGAATCAGGAACAGCAAGTTTGGGGTCACAGAGCTATGAAATACCACAACTCTCCTGGGTGGCTCTTAGTAACAGGTTGGTTTGTGGGAAGGGGACCTGTGAGTGGTGGCAGATGAGGTTATAGAAGGACCCAGGCAACACGGCCAGATCACAAAGGGCCTTACGAGCTACGTGAAGAGGTCTTGAGTTGTATCTAAAAAGCCAAAAGAAATCACTGAAGGATATTTTCCCCAACATCTTACGAAAAATTTGAAGCACAAGGGAGTTGAAAGAATTGCAGCGAACACTCATATACCCACCACTTCGATTCTGCAGTTAACATTTTACTATAGTTGATTCATCATATATCTATCCATGTGCGCACCCTTTATCCACAATGATAGGATTTCGGCAGGAAATCTGATGAGAACTCACTCTGGCAGCAGTGGAGAGAACAGACTGAAAAGTGAAAAGTGTGTGTGAGGGTGGTGGTGAGGGGAGAGGGTATCTGTGCTGACCCAGTGGCAACAGGGACAGAGAGGAGGGTGGAGGATGGAAGCCACACATGTGAATTATTGATGAAGGCAAAAGAAGTCATAGGGCTTGTGATCAGAGACCTGGGAGGGAGTTGAAGGAAGGAGGGAGGGATGCCCCTCAGGTTCTTCAGGTTTAGAGGTCAGGAGGGAGGGCTAGGCTGGCAATGCCCAGGCTGGTGAGTTTTCCATACTTTTCCAATCTGTATCTGTGGTTTTGACAGGGTTACTCCACAGTGTGCCAAGGGAGAAGAACAAGGCAGAGATGGCACTACGGGGAACACAGACATTTAAGGGCAGGTGAGGGAGGGACTGGGGCTTGAAGGAGTCTGAGAAGTAGTTCTCAGAGGGGTAGGTGGAAATCCAAGAGAAAGGTCACAGAAGTCATAGCTGGGGAATGGCCAGTGCTGTGGAATGTTACCAACCAAATGGTCAGCCAAGATTAGGACAGAAAAATGTACTGGTGCACATGTGCCCCAAGAGTATGCATATGCGTATAGCCTCTGTGTGTACTTGTTGTGCACATTCAAGAACGATTTGTTGAAAGCCTACTGTGGGCAGACAGTGTGCCATGTTCTGTGGAATATACAAAGATAAACAAGATATGTCCCCTGCCCACAGGGAGTTTACAGTCTCATAGGGGAGGTGAAATAGTACATGATGCAATATGAGACAGTAAGACAAATATCATATTAAGGTGACAGAATAATCACTACAATGCCTTCCTTTTATTGGGTATTTAGTATGAGTTTGATATGAGGTGTTGTTAATATAACCTGACTTAATCCTCACAATAACCTGGTGAGATAAGTATCATTATTGCCTTCACTTTACAGGTGAGGAAACTGAGTTAGAGAGAGAAAAAGTGATTCACAGGGCTGCAACAGCCCCCCAAATAGTCTCTCAACCTCAACTCCCCCACTTCCGATCCTGACTACGTACTTCTTGAAGGCAGAAACTGTCTCATTCATCTTTATGTCCTCAGCATTCAGCAACAGGGCCTGGCTCAGAGAAGAGACTTGGTTTCTCTCTCTCTCTCTCTCTCTCCCTCTCCCTCTCCCTCTCCCTCCTCCTCCCCCTCCCCCTCCCCCTCTCCCTCTCCCTCTCCCTCTCTTTCCCCGCTAGTATGTGAAAGCTCTGGGGTTTGGAAGGGACAGCTGGACCCTACATGGGAAAACACCTTTCAGTGGTTCTGTCCCTGCACAGTCAATGACCAGGGCACAGGCCATAAGATATCAGAAGGCAGAGGCTATGTCCTGATCATCTCTGATCAAGTGAAAACATAGGAAGCATTCAATCTGCTGACTTAATGAGTTAGAAGGGTTTCAGGCTAAGACTCCTGAACTGAAAAGTACAATTCTTCTGGTTGGTGAACAAGCCTGAAGGCAGGATCACTACACAATGAAGAAATCTCCAATAAACAGTGTTTCCCTGTATAAAATTTAGAAATTATTTTTAAAAAACCGTGATTCACTCAAGGTCATGTAAAGTGCTATGACAGCACAGAAGAGGGGGAATATGATTTCTCCTGGAATGGTAGTGGTGGTGTAGAAATTAGGAAGGCTTCCTGAAAAAGGAGACATTACAGTGGCTGTCCTACCCTGCCTCCTTTAACATTGAACAATTGCTTAAAGTGTCTACAGTGTGCTGCCAGCCTCCAGGATGATAGTTTCTATACCCTGAGAAATGGCTCTTAAATCAAATAACTACAGCCAACTAAAAAGTGTTACCATGGAGACACATCTAGGGAAGAAGGAATTGAGGGTAGGATGGAGATAGTTGCTGGATGCTGAGGGTACCTCAAAATGACCGTTGGAGAAGGTGAGATATTTTCATCTTAAACCTTCCAGCCCTTCTGTTGTGTTTTCCAAATCTGCTGTCATGGTCTGATAGGACTGGAATGCAGTTGGGTGGAGGGCAGTGTCAGGAAGTGGAAATTGAGCAGGCAGAACAAACGAAAATGTCCTGTCTAGAATCCTATAAGGCCTTAAGGTAATAGGGAGCCCTTATGGGATATGGGAAGTTTGGACTTTGTTCGGTAGGTACTTGGGACGGGGAGGGGTGGGATTGGGAGTGTGAGCAAAGATTTTTAATCTTAATTTATAGAAATAATAAGGATAATTTAAAATACATATCATCTTTGTAACAAAATATTTTTTCTGTGTATATTTCCTTTGTTCACTGTCCATATGAAATATATTTTACATAATTGTATTTTTAGTGTACATACATATACTTTTTGTCTTCTTAATAACTTAATGTTACATTGACATTTTCGATGTTTCTACATAATCTCCATAGCTATTGTCAACGGCTGCATAATTATGTTCCACAATTTACCTAACTAGTTAGTAATATGCTGGTAAGCCAGCTTGTTCCCTTACCAGTTTCCATGATATAAATAGGGCATAAATATTCCCACCAGGGCTGATTTCATGCTACCAATGATTTTAACAATCAGCTGCAAAATTCCTGAATTTAACAATAACCTCTCAGGAGCTAGTGCTTTGGGGAAGCATTTAGAATCTTCCTTGTCCCCAAAGTTCTGAATTTCATGGTGAGTGCGTGGGCTGGGCATTCAGTAGGCTTGTTCACGCTGGGAACAGTGTCCTTTTGGATCTGGGAAAACTTCCTGAAGAATTTTGTTGATGATCTTCTTCCCTCTGTTTCCTCTTCTGGAAATTCCATCATTCACATGTTGTGTCTCTTAAATGAGTCCTCTAATTTTATTTTTTCGGTTATTTTCCATTTCTTTCTCTTTTGTACTACTTTCAGGGAGGTATTTTCAGCTTAAACCTTCCAGCCTTTCTGTTGTGTTTTCCAAACCTGCTGTCATGGCTCTAATTTCTGATTTCCTGGGTTTTTTTTGTTTTTTTCTTTTTGCGCCCTATTTTTACTGTGTGGAATCAATATCTCCTGTCTCTGAGGATATGAATGATAGTATTATGTGTGTGGCTTTAGTTTTCTTTGCCTTGTATAGTTTCTGTTACTTCCCAGTTGTTTTTCCTCCCTCCCTTCCTTTCTCCCTTTTTAGGTGACTGTGGCATTTATTTTTTTGCATTTTTAAATTAGCTTTCTGAGGTATAGTTTACATGTAATTAAAAAATCACTAATTTAAGTCTATAATTGTATGAGTTTTGAAAAGTGTATATAGTCAAGTAATTACCAACACAGTCATGTATAGTACAATATAAAAACAAAGAGATTGACATTGGAACAATACTATTAACTAGACTACAGATCTTATTCATATTTCACCAGTTTTTACATGCACTCAAGTATATGTTTTCTATATAGTTCTGTGAATTTTTATCACAAGTATAGATGCATGTAATCACCACTATAACAAAATACCAAACTGTCCCATCAACACAAAGGAACTTCCTCCCTCCATCCCTAACCCCTTGCAGCCACCAATCTTTTTTCCATCTCCATACATTTCAGGACTGTTGTTATATAAAATAGAATCATAAAGTATGAAACCTATGGAGACTGACTTTATTCATTTACTGTTCTTGAGATCCATCCAAGTTGCTGCATATATATCAATAGTTGGTTTCTTTTCATTGCCAAGTAATATTCCATTAAGCATACCACGGTTTATCCATTGGAAGACATTCAGATTGTTTCCAGATTTTGGTTATTACAAATATGACTACTATAAACATTTGAATACGGGTTTTTGTGTGAACATAAGTTTTCATGTCTTGGGATAAATGCTCAGAAGCATGATTGATTGGTTGTGTGGTCAGTATATATTTAGTTTTACATGAAACTGCTGAAACATTTTCCAGAGTGGCTGTACCATTTTACCTTCCCACCAGGAATGTATGAGAGATCCATTTTCTCCACATCTTCATCAGCATTTAGCATTGTCAGATATATATATATATATATATATATATATATATATATATAATTTATTTTTAGATAGAGTGGGAGGGAGAGAGGGAGAGAGAAAGAGAGAGAAACATTGACATGAGAGAGACACATCGAGTGGCTGCCACCCACACAACTCCAACCAGGGTCGGGGACAAACTGCAACCGAGGTGCATGCCCTTAGTGGGAACTGAACCTGGGCCTCTCTGAACCCGGGTCCGCGGGACGATGCTCTAACCGCTGAGCCAAACCGGCCAGGGCAGACTTGTCAGATTTTTACATTTTAGTTTTCTAATGGGTGTGA